CAGGGCCAAATGTGGTGACCCCTGTGGCTCTCTCACCAACGGACAGACGACAGAGGTCATGTCACGTGACACCATCACGGAGCCACCGGCCACATCAAGACCCCCGCATCGGCCACCCCAGGAGGCCGGGGGTGGGGGGCAACCTACGGCCTCTGCTTGCTTTACGTGGCCTGAGAACAGTCTTTACACTTTACGTGGTCAAAAAAAAAAAAAAAGACTCTTTCAGGACAGGTGAAAATGATATGAAATTGACATATCAACAGACACAAAGTTTGACTGGCGCACCCGTTTGTCTCCCCAACAATAGCAAAGCTGAGTGGCTGTGATGGAGGCGTGTGGCCGGCAAGGCCTCAAATGTATACCCAGCCCTTTACAGGAAACATTCACCCAGCCCTGCACAGACCCACCGACTTCCAAAGGCAAGAAGCAAAGACAAAAAGGGAGACTGCTCTAGATCAAAGATACTGAAAAGACCGAACAAGCAAGGGCGGGCCCTGCTGCGTCTGGAGTCAGGCAAATTAGAGGACGTTTGGGGGAAGTCAGGGTGTCTGGACATGGACAGGCCTTGCATTTGCTGCCCAAGTGGACATGCACATGGTTGGGACCCCCGGCTGCAGCCCAAACCCCATGCATCCCAGGGAGTGAGTCGGCGGCAGCAGCCAGGGCTGCGCATGGAACAGGGGAGGGGTCTCACCCTGCACCCAAGTGGGCCGCTTGGTTGGACTGGGCAGTGCAGCCCACCTAGGACACCTCCTGAGAGTCCTACAGTGGGAGCATGGAGCTTGGAGGGCTTGGGGACAGGGACCCAGGTGCCACACTGGGGAGGGGTCAGGGCTGCAGGGAACCCGACTCAATCACCCCACGAGGGTGGGGAACCCCTGTGGGCCCTACAGGGTCAAGTCCCCCGCCCCCTCCCCTCCTCATTCCTAGGAGCCGGACCCGTGCACCCCATGGAAGCCAAGGTTGGCTCAACTCAAACTCAGGGCCAGAGAGAAATTGCCGAGTGCCTGGTGTCCCGGCTCTTAGGGCCCTGCCAGCTTCTCGAGCCTGAGAAAGGCCCCCAGCCCCCAGCCCAGGGCACTAGCCTTCCACTGGACAGCTCTGATGGTCAGAGCTGACCCTGTGGCCCCCTGATTCACGGCCCTGTTGGGGCCCCCGGACAAGGATGTGGACGGGTCTGCTTTCAGGCACCTTCCCAAGGTGGGCCCCGACACCTTCAGAATCCGGTAGCACCTTCCCATCAGAAACGGTCCAATACGCAGAGGCAGGGACCCTCACCCACGAGTGCACACACCCACCCGAGGCCCCCAAGCCCCGCTGTGGGTCCAGGGCGGCCTCCTCCCCAGGGGCCCCGCCCCAGCCCCGGTGCCCGTGCTCACCTGCAGCATGAGCTCACACTCATCTCGCCCCACGAAGATGAGCTCTCGTGGGAGCCGGTGGCGAGTGCCGCTGCCGCTCACCAGGAACCAGGAGGTGGCGCTCATCTTGGCACTGGCGAGGCCTGTCCAGCCCTGGGGGGTGAGGGGTCATCAGAGCAGGGCTCCCCTGCCTGGGCCCAGGCCCCTGGACACCCCAAAGACCGGCACAGATCTTGCCCCGATGAGGTTCAAGCACCTTCACGGCACCACCGCGGTGGCCGCTTCCAGAAATGCTGGGCTCCAGGCCAGCCCCTCACCGAGTGTGCCTGTCCCCTGTAGACCCTTCCCAGGCTAAGGTCGCCCGGTCCTCCCTTACACTCTAGGTCCACACATAGCCTCTTCTCTCTCTCTGGGTGCCAGAGATTGGGTGCATGGGGCGCTAGCCACACTGCCTGCGTGTGGACCCACGTGTGTCCCCGTGACCTGCAGGAGCTGCTCCCAGGTGGGACTCAGCGTGGCCCTTCAGGGTCCCCATGGGCTAGGCCCACACCCAGGACACAGACTCTGAACCAGAGCCTCTGCCTCCCCTGCTGGAGACTCTGGGGTGGGCCCAGGCAGGGGGCGAGGAGGAGATGGCTGGAGACGAGAGCCCTGAGCCATCAATACGCCTGCCGCTGAGAGGGGGTTGAACGTCCCTTGGCAGCCACTGTGACCGCCCTGCAGACGCCCCCAGGCCAGGACAGTACCAGGTGGTCAGGGCAGCAGGCAGTCCCTCCAGTGCCCAGGAGGGAGGTGGTGCTTTGGTGCCTGAGATCCTGGGGGCTGATATGGTCAGGACGGACAGGGGAGTATCAGGGTGCCTGAGGGGCACAGTGGGGACAGCCTGAGTGACGACAAGGGCCGATGTCACCCGAGACCAGGCCCTGGGGCAGCCTGAGGCCCCACGCAGCCAGTGTGCACGTGCTCTCACACAGATGCCAATTGCCCAGAGCCGTGTCACAGGGGCACAGGTACCAGAATGTGCAGACACACCTGTGCCCCACACATGTGCACACAGCTTACACACACACCCGGAGCACCGCCTACAAGTGCCCTGGCCGCTCTCCTGTGGAAGCTCACACACGCACGCGCGCGCACGCACACACACACACAGTGGGTAAAACGTGTCCTGAGCACTGCCGTGCGCCAGGTGGTGTCCTGGGCCCTGAGAGACACACACTGTCCCTGCATCACGGGGCTTCCCTCCAGCCAGGGAGGTGGGCAGCAAGAAGGGAAACCGCTTGTGAGAAGGTGCGAGTGACACAGAGAGAAATAGGGGTGGGGACAGTAGCGCAGCCGCGAGGGGTCCATCTACGGAGGGCGGTCAGGGAAGGCTCAACTGGGAGCGGGCGGAAGCAGGCATGTGAACATCTGGGGGCCGTGCTCCAGGCAGAGGGAACAGGCAGGGCCAAGACGCTGGGCCGCGTGCTCCCGGGAGTTCTGTGGCTTGTCCGGGAGCGAAGGGGGAGGCCCCAGAGGACCCAGGACATGCTGCATCCCTAAGTGCAGAATGCAAATGCAGTAGGCCTGTTCCAAAATTATGAAGGATTTCAAAACAGCGAGAGCAGAATGCTAAACCCAGTGCAGGGTCTGAGTGCGGGGCCCATGCAAGAGCATGTGTCACACACTCGTGAGGCCAGCCCTGGAGGTCCTGGGTCCATGATCTGACTCACAGGGTGCAGAACAGATGGCAGGTCAAGCAGGAGGCTAGTTAAGACATGAGACAATAACGAGGGAGAGAGAAGATGGTGCCGGCACCTGGCGGGAGCAGAGGACCTAGGGAGTATCCCCAGGCCCTGTCCCTGCGACACCCACACCCAGAGCCTCAGCCTGAGGCTCCTACGAGCCAGGTCTCAACACCAGGCCCCACCCATCGGTGAAGGCCCAAGTGACCATGTAACCCATGGCAAACCCTCATGTCACCTCGGGCAAGCAGGTGGGAAGATGTCGAAAAATCCACCCAGAACACAGCCCCAGCCGGCCAGAGCCCCTCATCCTGGGACCCCTGCCCTTGCTCAGGGTCCAGCCAGAGGGGCAAAGCTCTGGAAGCCGAAGGGGCGGGGACTCCCGAGCCCCTGCAGCCTACGGAGGCGTCAGCAGCACAGCCGGAGGAGATGACAGAGCTCTCGCTAGGAGAGTCCCCACCCAGCCCCCAGCCCAGCCCAGCTCCCACACTCTGCCATCACCTGCCACCAGGTCGTGACGGGCAGTTGGCAAGGGAACCCCACCCAGAGGAGGCCACAGCCTCTGCTTATGGCAAAGGGAGGCCAAACCCCCAGAGCCGGGTTATGCGGCTGTGGCGGAGCCAGGCCGCCCCTGCCGCTGCCAGCCCATCTCGAAAAGGCCCAGGCCTGGAGTCGTGGACGCTCCCAAGCAGCCTGCGGCCGGTTCAGGGCTAGGCTGGCCATCGTTGCTAGGAGGGAGAATACTAAACACCCCAAACTTGTCCCCCCAGAAGGGCCACCCGCCTGGAGGGGAGGGTTGGAGGTGGAGTCGCCCAGGGGCAGGGGCCGGGAGGGGCAGAGAGCGGCGGCGGGCGGCTGGAAAGCGCAGACTGAACGGAGGCCGGGACAGCGGAGAGGCGGCGGCGGCAAAGGGAAATGAGGAGAGAGGGAGGTGGAGGAAGACGGAGGGAGGGACCGCGGGAGGGGAGACCAGGCCGGGAGGAGGCCAGGCGGGAGCGCCGGGCCCGCAGGGGGAGGGAGCGACGCCTTCTCCTGAATCAGCGCTCGCCGGGGGCGGCCAGGGCCCAGCCGGTGCCTGGGCGGGGACCCCGGCGCCCGGGGCAGCGCCCCCCTCTCCAGGCCGCGTAGACGCGCGCCCGGCGGTCCCTCCCGGCCTGACGCAGACCTGGGCCGCCTCCGCGGGGGCGAAGACCGACCTGGCCAGGTGCGCCGGTTAGCCCCCACCCCCGCGCCTTTGTCCGGCCCACCGGTCTCCGCTCGCCCGCCCCCTGCCCGCTGCCCGCGCGGCCCCGTCGGCACACAGGTGCGGGAGCAGGGAGGCCCGGCCGCCGCGGGCGCAGAGCGGCGCGTCTTACCTGCGGCTCGGTCCCGACTCGGCCCCGGCTCGGCCCCGGCCCTCCCGCCCGGCCGGCCGAGCGCTGGGCGGGGCCGCCGCCTAGGACATGCCCGGCGCGGCCCGCACGCTCGCGGCAGCCCGGCGAGCCCACGGGCAGAGCGGCGGCCCGGCCTCGCGCGGCGGGTCCCTGACGTCTGCGGGCGCCCCGCCCCGCCCATGCCAGGCCCCGCCCTCGCCCCGCCCCCCGGAAATCCAGGTTAGGGCGGGCCCGGAGCGCCAGGTGAGCGCGGCTCCCGCCCCCGGCGGGTCAGCGGGCCCCGCCCCCGCGCCCACCCCCCCCCGACCCCCTCCGACCGGGCCCAGCCCCTCCCCCACTCGCCCCCACAGGTCTGTCCCCAGACCCCTCCCCTCACGGTCTTCGTACCGCCTCGGCTTGGGGACCCGCCTCTGCGTGCCGGGCGCAACCCGGTGGCCGCAGCAACCCCGCGTCTTGGCTCTGAGCCCGCGGTTAACGCTTAACCAAGCTCCGGGAGCCCGAAACTCGAACCGCACCCCTGGGCCCTAACCTTTGGCCCCGCCCGCCCAAATGAGGGGTGGAGGGCGAAGGAGGTGTGGTGAGCCCCAGAGGCCCGCGCCCGCCCTCTCGTGCTCCACGCGCCCCAACCCCGGGATTTCGGCCGGGCTGGGTGAGGTGGGTCGTGGGCGTCGACGCAGTCCTACCCTCTGCTGACTGCGGGCCGGGCCCTGCCCGAGGGCGGGGCGTGGGTCCCGGAGTGAGTTCTCACGCGCTGCTCGCTCCGCGCTGAGCGCTACAGTAGAGGTATCCGGTGTCCCGAGAGCGAGAGGGGGAAAGGGCTTAACGCTGCGGGCGGGGGCGCTGTGGGAGACGCCTAGGTGGGGGTTTGCCCTGCAGGCATTCCTGCTTTACTGGTGGGGACTGGCCTTGACCGAGGGAGGAGGTGCGCAGCGAAGCCAGGGAAGTCCTGGGAGCTGGGGTTGAGGAGGCGTGTGCCGGGGAGTCTGGGCTTTGTGGCCTGGGCGGCTGGCGCCTCTGAGCGTTCACGGGACCCCTGCCCTACACCGGGAGCACCGCCCCATGGTCACCAGCCCCCGACAGAGCCAGGCCTGGGGGTTGGAGTGCGGAGGGGGTCCAGCACCCTCGAGTACAGAGGGGAGCCCCATACCCACTACGCAGGTGGAAACCCACCTGCAGAGGGGAGAGCTATGAGGTTGCGGGGAGTGTGCCGGACGGTGGGCGGCGCCACCAGTGCGGGACGCACCGGAAGAACCTGAGTTGGGAGCGCGGACTGCTAGGGTTTGGGGTGGTGGGGGGAGGGGCAGGCCAGGGGAGGGACCTGTAGCCAGGTGATCAAGGAGCTTGGACTTCGTCCCAAGGACAACGTGGCGCCCAAGGAGCGTTTGCTGCTGGCTGAGACCTGCTCAGATGAGGCTTTCAGAGAGCTCTAGGTGCCAAAGGGCATGGAAGGAAGAAGAACAGGAGTGGGGGGGTGGGGAATGGTCAGGTGTCCAAACCTAGTCCTGGAATGGAAGAGGTGGGGGCAGAGAAGTGGGCTGGGCCTTCCCGATTTGCCCTCCAGACCCACCTTCCTCCCTCCCCATGGCCTGCGCCCTGGGCCACCGGCCCCATCCCCCACTCTCCCCTGGCTTCCGGGTGAGTTTGGAAGCCAGCCCAGAGGTTGGGGAATTTCCCCAGCTCCCTCCCGGCTGGGCACAGACCTCTCCTCTCCCTGAGGTCCTCTCCCTGAGGTCCTCTCCCTGAGGCCCCAGTCCCTACCCTGAGGCCAGCCCCCACCCAGGTCTTCACCACCCTGTTGGTTTCGCCTACCCCTTGCCTGCACCTTGGTAAATGGACCTTTTATAAAAGTCCTTTTCTCTCTTTGCACCTTTCTCCTGCCAGGACGCTGACTTCCTCCAAGTTAAGGAAGAGAGAGGAGGCAAAGACGGCACCCAGTGGTCACCTGGACCCCCTACTGTCACTGGGAAACAGGTGAACAGGCCAGGAGAGCAGGTGTGCAGGGGACAGCTGTTGAGAGTTTGATGCGGAACGATGGAGAGACCTGGGGACACTCAGGTGAGCTGTTTGGGACAGAGCTAGGGGCAGCTGGAGGCCTCATCAGGTGTGGGTGATACTTGGAGCCAGAGGGAGGGGGTAGAAAGAACAAGGTAGACTAGCCAGGAATCCACAGTGAGGACTGGAAAGGAAACCCAAGGAGGGGTGAGACCACAGTCTCCCCAAGGTTGCATTGAATGCAACTTGTAAGAGTAGCTACAGGATTTTTTTTTTAATAACTATGTGAACCTATCCTGAAATCCATGAGGAAAAGAAAGGTGCAAGAATAATTAGCCTGCAAGTACTTGAACAGACATGTCTCCAAAGAAGATAACCAAGTGGTCAACAAGCACATGGAAAGATGCTCAACATCATTAGTCCTTAAAGAGATGCCAATCCAAACCACAGTGAGGCGCCACTTCACACCTGTTAGCATGACTACTATCAAAAAAATAATAATAATAATAATCAGTGTTGGTGAGAATGTCTGTGGAGAACTGAACCCTATGCATTATTGGCGGGAATGTAAAATGGTGCAGCCTCTATGGCAAACAGTACGGCAGTTCCTCAAAAAATTAAAAATAGAACTACCATACAATCCAGCCATTCCACTTCTGAATATATGCCCAAAAGAATTGAAAGCAGGGACTCGAATAGATATTTGTACACCTGTGTTAATAGCAACGTTTTTTACAATAGCCAAAAGGCGGCTGCACCCCAAATGTCCTTCAGTGGATAAATGGGTAAGCGAAATGTGGTCCATCCTTACAATGGAATATTATTCAGCCTTAAAAAGGAAAGAACATGGATGAGCCTTTATGACATTGTGCCAAGTGAATTAAGCCAGTCTCAAAAAAGCAAATTCTTTATGATTCCACTTCTACGAGGTCCCTAGAGTAATGCAATTCTTAGAGACAGAAAGGATGTTGGTTGCCAGGGGCTAGGGGATGGGGAGTGAGTGTTTAATGGAGACAGTTTCAGATTTAGGAAGATGAGAAAACGTTCAGGGGACTTCCCTGGTGGCGCAGTGGTTAAGAATCCGCCCGCCAGTGCAGGGGACACGGGTTCGAGCCCTGGTCTGGGAAGATCCCACATGCCACGGAGCAGCTAAGCCCGTGCGCCACAACTACTGAGCCTGAGCTCTAGAGCCCACGAGCCACAACCACTGAGCCTGCGTGCCACAGCTACTGAAGCCCACGCGCCTAGAGCCCATGCTCCACAACAAGAGAAGCCTCTGCAGTAGGAAGCCCGTGCATGACAACAAAAAGTAGCCCCTGCTCACCACAACTAGAGAAAGCCTGCGCGCAGCAACAAAGAGCCAACGCAGCCAAAAATAAATAAATAATTTATTTAAAAAAATAGTTCAGGAAGTGGATGGTGATGATGGTTGTATGATGACATGAATGTACTTAGTGCCACTGAACTGTACCTTTAAAAATGTTTGCAATGGTAAATTTTAGGACTTCCGTGGTGGCGCAGTGGTTGAGAATCCGCCCGCCAATTCAGGAGACACAGTTTCAAGCCCTGGTCCGGGAAGATCCCACATGTGCGGAGCAACTAAGCCCGCGTGCCACAACTACTGAAGCCCACGTGCCACAACTGAAGCCCACGCGCCTAGAGCCCGTGCTCCACAACAAGAGAAGCCACCACAATGAGAGAAGCCCACACACCACAGCAAAGAGTAGCCCCCACTCGCCACAACTAGAGAAAGGCTGCACGCAGCAACAAAGATCCAACGCAACCAAACATAAATAAATAAACATTAAAAAAAGAAAGCTCACATTTCTTGAAAAAAGGTAAATTTTATGTTTTTTATGTGTTTTACCACAATTTTATAGATTATTTTTATTTATTTATTTTTGGCTGCACTGGGCTTTCGTTGCTGCACACGGGCTTCTCGTTGGCATGGCTTCTCTTGTTGCGGAGCATAGGATTTAGGCGTGCGGGCTTCAGTAGTTGCAGCTTGCGGGCTTAGTTGCTCTACGGCATGTGGGATCTTCCCGGACCAGGGATCGAACCCGTGTCCCCTGCATTGGCAGGCGGATCTTAACCACTGCACCACCAGGGAAGTCCCCACAATTTTAAAAAGTAAAGAAAGAAACCAAAAACAATAGCCTGGGCTTCCCTGGTGGCGCAGTGGTTGAGTGTCTGCCTGCCGATGCAGGGGGACGCGGGTTCGTGCCCCGGTCCAGGAAGATCCCACATGCCGCGGAGTGGCTGGGCCCGTGAGCCATGGCCGCTGAGCCTGCGCGTCTGGAGCCTGTGCTCCGCAACGGGAGAGGCCACAACAGTGAGAAGCCCGCGTATCACAAAAAACAAACAAACAAAAAAACCCCAAAAAAATAGCCTGTATAATTCTAAAAAAGAAGGTGCCAGTCCTGCCAGAGGGTAGAGTCTGTCACAGAACCGACCAGAACATTCTGTTATAGGTGGTTGACTGAACACACAGATCAGAGGTCCGTGTGATCATTTAGCATACGATTATTTGGCATTTAAAATCTGCGAGGAAAAGGGCGTTCTTTAATAAAGGGTGTTGGGACAGCTGAGCAGCCATCGGAAGGAAACATGACATTGGACTCCTATCTCACTCCAAAATAAATTCCACATGGACCAGAAATACAAATGCCAACAACAAACCCACAAAAGCATTTGAAGAAAACAGAGGAGACTGGAGACAGTTTAATAGTTTCACCATGAGGAAAGCTTTTCCCAGCGTGATAGAAGCAGAGGTCATAAAAAATTTTTTGATAAATTTAAGTAAATTACAAATTGCAACATTTTGCATAGATATAACCTTTTAAGTCCTAGGATGTGCCGCAAACTGGGAAAAGCTTGTTGCTAACTCATACCTCAACGGAAGGGCCAACTCCCCAGCAGAGCGGGCCTGTGAATTAGTAAGGATGGGGGCCGAGCGTCTCACTGGAAGTTGGGCAAGCAGCCCAGATGCATGCAGAAGGAAACCCACATGGCTGTTAGCTGAAAGATGCTTAACTTCACCCATGAGCAGAGAAATGCAAATGCACGTGACCTTCAAACTTTGGAGGTTTCAAAGAGGGACGGGATGGGAGTGGTGGGGAGACGGGAGCTAGGGTGTGAGTCTGAGGTTGGAGGTGGGGCGACAGTGCCCATCACCTTACAAAAGCCCTCGTCCAGCCAGCCTGTCTGCTTCCCAGGATCTGTCCTGCAGGAATACTCGCGCATGTGCACCAGGCCTAGTCGAGATTTTCATTGCTGCTTTGCACCTAAAGCAGAGCTAGAAACGGCTCGGCCTCGGTCCATCCAAGGGCACCGCTGAGGGACGCCAGATGCCATGCAGCCGTGGGCACCACTCGGTGGCTCCCTGGGGGGCACAGCACCAGCTCCTCAGTGTTCTCAGAGAACCCGCAGCCCCCTCTCCCTCCTCTGCACTGTCTGGTCGCGGGGTGGCCCCTGCACGCGGGAACTGGGGATGGGGAGACCTCATTTCCACCCTTGGCCCGAATTTTTTAAACGAGGAAGCTGTATTAACAATGACAAGATTTGCTGTTTTCTGTAGGGAATAGTCAGGAGGGGGCAGGGTCCCCGTGCAGAAAGAGGTGAGGGAGTGGAGCGGCCAGCACATCCTGGGGACACGTGGCTCCAGGGCTGGGCGGGGCGCCGAGGTGGTGCCTGGGGCTTGAGGTAGAGCTGCAGACCCCCTGGGGGGTGGGAGTGGAGCCAGGGGATGCAGAGAAAAGATAAAAGCAGGCCTCCCATCCCCCTCCCATCCGGTCCCCAGCCCTAGGGCCTTGCTGCCCTTTGAAGCCACTGGACTCGGCGGCCTGGCCCACGTTCCTCTGGCCTCCTCCTCGCCAGGATTTCGCCGGGGTTCTCTGGTTGAACTCACACAACCTTAGCATCTGCCAGCCTAGCGGCCGTGTCCTCTGTGGTCGAGAACGTGGAGCCCCGGCTGTCCCTTTGCCTTTGGATTTTTGCATTTAGTCCCTAGTTTCACGTGCATTTGCTGCTAGTGGGAGAAAGAAACCTCAGTGCTGACACAGAGGTGACGGGCCCAGCCCCTGCACCTTCCCAGAGTCAGGCGCAGGGCCTGTTCTTTCCATCTCTATTGTCTGTCCGGCCTTGCTGACCAGACACCAAGGTCAGCTGCAGCCAGGAGCTGGGCCTTCCTGAGGGGCCGGCTTCCCACTTGTGTGTCTGCTGCATGGCTGCCCAGGCCTGTTGGAGCTGCCCGGCCCAGGACATGACAGGGATCGCCTGCAGGCCTGGGCCCTGCCACACCCGGGAGAGTCCTGCGGGGCTGGTCTGGGCCAGGCAGCTGGGGCAGGGTCCCCCTCAGAGGGGGGAGGCAGGTGGCCCGGCGGAGGCGGGAGGACCCCTGGCCACTGTCCCTGTCCTCTGGGCTCAGCCTCAGGGCTGAGGTAATTATCCTAATTATCCGCGCATGGCAGGGGGGCAGTCCTAAAGCCTGGGCCGCACTTGTCCATGTTTCATTATTCGGCCCAGCTGAGCCCCGCAGCTGAAGGGTCAGGCTCCAGGCCAGGGGATGGGGGGCACAAGTCCTGCTGGGGCCTGGCATGGGAGCAGCGGGTGCTGGGCTGTGGCAGGACAGTCATTGGCCCCTGCACCCGTAAACCTTAGGGCAGGTGGGAGGGGCTGCCAGGCTGTGTCCCCATAACCCCTGAGCCTCCCTCTTGAAGGGCACAGTGTCGGCCTGCACCCCACGCAGAAGTCACCCCTCAAAGGGAACCCAAGGGTGGGCAGGGCAGTGGCCACGCCCCACACACCCCGCCAGCTTCATGCCCCCATTCTCTCCCCCTCCTCCATTCATGCCTCCTCCCCTAGGTATGCCCCTCCCCCATTTGCTCCCCTCCCCCCATTCGTGCCCCCCTTGCCCCCTCCCCCATTCACATCCTGGCCACGTGCTGTGAGCATTTTGCTCCTGTGCTGTGGGTGTCCTCTCTCGCGCCCTCAGGCTGGAGGGCAGAGTCCATCTCTGCTCCAGGTCCAGGTTCTTATACTCCCCCCCCCACACACACACCCCCATAACCCTGCAGCTCCCGTGACAGACAAGGCGGGTGAGGAAGGGCTGCAGGAGTCACCGACTCGGGGTGACCCTTTCTCAGGGATCCCCCAGGGAACAAGGAATGTCTTTGCTCACATCTGCAGCACCGCCTCAGCCTTCCTTCCACCACGGCAATCCTGAGGGCACCCACTCCAAAGCCTCCCGCCCTGTTCCTTCCAACAGAACCAGGTGCTTTCAGCCAACAGTGCAGAGCTCTTGATCTCAGGGAAGATAAGCCAGACGCAAAGCTGGGTGTGGGCACAGGCCCAGTTTTTGCCCAAGTGAGGTGACTTCTGCTGTCAGCCAGGGAGTGGAGAAGGGTGCTTCTGGGAATGCTGTTCCTCCCATTTAAGAGATGAGGTGAGGTAAGACACTGCCATCTGCTCACTGCCTTTGCTGGCTGAGGTGTGATGCTTGGAGCTCCAGCAGCCATGATATGAGCAAGAGGAGAAGACCAGGACCTGGGCAGCAAAGCCAGTCCAGATCCCTGCCTTTGCTGCTGAACTGGACCCAGAATAAACACCTCATTCTTAAGTCAAAAGACAACAAGCCCTCATTGTCTCTTAAGCTACTTTGGGTTGAATGCTGTGTTAATTGCAGCCCAGCCATCTATGTAGCATAACATGTTCAGATCGGCTTTCTCCAAACTGTTCTTGGAATATTAGTAATCACTATATCTATGAAAGAAAAGTCCATTTTGGTGATATTTATTTTTTAAAGTAAAAATGTGGTACCCATCCGCCCACCAAGCATGACCACCTGGAAACCACCGATGAGGTCCCTTCTCTCTAGGGATGGTGACATTGGAGATAGGCTCCATTAGCCCTCCTCCAGGATGAAGCATGTGCCAGAGACCTGGAGAACCCCGCTGGGGCTGAGCTTTTGAGAATCTGGGTATCGTCCATTCCATCAGCCCACACACCTCAGGGCCAGGAGCAGATGCTAGGACGGAAGGCAAAGAGCACATCGACATCTGCAAGTTCCTCCAGAGCCTTTGACCTCGAACTTGGAGCATCACTGTTAGACGTTAGAGGTGAGTTAGATGTGAGCAGAGGCATCGTGAACATGTCGGAGGGACGGTGGGCGGCATCCCTTCCCCTCCCTTCCTATTGCGACAGACTCGTTTGGCAGTTTTCTGTCAGATGTTAATTCTTGCAAATGCCCTGTGCCACCCACCGCTGGTGACAATGGTGACCACTGCCACTGTGGTAGCAGAGGTGACCCTCTCGAAGCTCTTCTCCTAACGGGGTGGTGGTTGGCCAGGTGCTGCCATCTTATCAGCCATCCTTCCCAGGGCTGAGACCTGCCCGTGGATCTCCAAGTGTTACCTCAGGAAGCAGCAGAAGAAATCAGGCTCCCGACAGGTCAGGACGCTTGAGAGGGCGGCACTTGGACAGCCTGGTGGCCTTCCTCGTGGCCACTTGGATTCTCCTCCTGCATCTGAAGTGCGACAGTGAAAGCTGCCACTAGAACTCCAGGCACTGAGGGTCACTGGAGGAAGACAGTGGCTGGAGGTGAGGTCTCCCCGTTGGAAGGTGAATGGTGACATCCACGGGTGATTTGTTGAACAGCTAATAAGGATGGATTCAGCGTACAACCCTCCAACGTGGTGCCACGTGCACATGCGTGTGGCAGCCTGCGGGGCTGCCGAGGTAACGCCATGGTCCCTCTGTAGTCAGTGAGACTGAATCTGGTCTTTAATGAATTGTGGCACAAAAAATCTTCTGTGATAGCCCTAACCGAAGACTTCTTAATATATTGAAATGCCCCTTTTTATTAAGCAAAATGCCTTTTTATTTTGATGCACAGAATGGAATTTTTTGCTTCATGTCTCAGATTTATATTATTTTTTTAAACTCTCGACATTTACTTCCTTTGTGTATTTTAAATCACGTACATGTGCTCTTTGTATAGTTGTAAAATTTTAATAAAAATCAACATATTTTTTGAACTGCATTACATCAGCATTTATAGACCTCGTTACGCACAACCTACCTCGGAGTCCCATGTGCGCACTGGCCGGCGCCCGGCGTCTGCTCTGTCCCCTGGCAGCGCCCACGGCCCTGTCTGCTTGTTGCTCCAAGCCAGGTACCTTGCTTTACAATTTCAGCCCATATCATGATGCCCGTCGATGTTTGTTGCACCCCAAACACATAACGCTGTGCCGACGCATTTCTCCTAGTTCCATGGCTCAAACAGGAAAGTATTAAAACGCAGCAAGATCTTACGGTCTCAAACTGGACCCAAATCAAATAAGCAGAAACCAGAATTCTTCCAATTAAAGATAAGTGGTTTCAGCCTCCCTGAGGCAGGAAAGGCCAGACGAACGAACTCCCAGGTATCAGAACGAGACTTTGCATGTGGCTAGCACGCTGCTTCCCTTTGTGGTACATAAGCGGCTTTCAGACTGTTCTGGAATGGGACTAGGGCTGAGTTAGGTGTAAGATTCCCATGCAGAAACCACTCGCCCGGGGAATCACACGGGCTTAAGTTTCTTGTGCTCTCTCAGGTGAAGTTTCATGAGCAGGAAAAGAAAAGAAAAATAAATACTCTATCTTGATATGTTTCGTTGCTTAATATGGTTCTTACTAAAATAAATGCAACTTGATTTCTCTTATTACTGTTATAAAATTTAAAACACACAGGGACTTCCCTGGCGGTCCAGTGGTTAAGACTCCGTGCTCCCAATGTTGGGGGCGGGGCATGGTTCGATCCCTGGTCAGGGAACTAAGATCCTGCATGCCACATGGCGCGGCCACACACACGGACACACACACACACACACGCAATTTTGATAATTTCTTACGTCAAGTAAATCAAGTAGATTATTTTCACCACGTACCAAGCAAGTCCATAGCACTCATTATAGTTTATAAGACCACTTAATGTTTAATCGTGCTTCCAGATATGACAGATAGCAAACATCAGACAAAACCTTGTACCAAAAGCAACTCTAAAAGCCATATTTAAAAATACATAGCTGGGGGGACTTCCCTGGTGACGCAGTGGTTAAGAATCAGCCTGCCAATTCAGCGGACACGGGTTCGAGCCCCGGTCCGGGAAGATCCCACATGCCGCGGAGCAGCTAAGCCAGTGCGCCACAACTACTGAGCCCGTGCACCTAGAGCCCGTGCTCCTCAACAAAGAGAAGCCACCGTGATGAGAAGCCCGCACACCGCATCGAAGAGCAGCCCCCGCTCGCCACAACTAGAGAAAGCCCGCGCGCAGCAGAGAAGAGCCAACGCAGCCAAAAATAAATAAATTAATTAATTGATTTTAAAAAATACACAGCTGGGTACTTCCCTGGTGGTCCGGGGGTTAAGACTCCATGCTCCCAATGCAGGGGGACCGGGTTCGACCCTGGTCAGGGAACGAGATCCCGCATGCCGCAGTGAAGATCCCACATGCTGCAACTAAGACCTGGCGCAGCCAAAATAAATAAATAAACATTAAAAAACAAACAAGCAAACAGCTGTTTGAAGGCATCGGCGAGCAACCAAGGCAGCCAGGACTTGAGGGGCTGGAGACCCTGACCAGAGGGACTCACCTTGAGATGAGCTGTCATTCTCGGCCACTTTCCTCCTTGGGGAAGCTTGCTGATTTGTGGATGATGCTGAGCCTGGAGGCCAAGGAGAATGTGGCAGCACAGCCACGGCCTGGGGAAAGGGCCTGGAACCACTGCGCCAGGCGCTGGCCGGGCAGAGGAGGGGCGGCCTGGGGCTGCAGGGCCAGGAGCCACTGAGCATCGAGGGGAGCTGGGAGACCCCGTTCCAGGGGCAAGGTGTGGAAGCCTGGCCAGGAAGTGGAGACAGATGAGAAGGTTTTATTTATTTATTTATTTAAATTTATTTATTTATTTATTTATTTATTTTTGGCTGCGTTGGGTCTTCGTTGCGGCGCGTGGGCTTTCTCTAGTTGCGGCGAGCGGGGGCTACTCTTCGTTGCGGTGCATGGGCTTCTCGTTGTCGTGGCTTCTCTTGTTGTGGAGCACGGGCTCTAGGTGCACGGGCTTCAGTATTTGCAGCATGTGGGCTCAGTAGTTGTGGCTCGCGGGCTCTAGAGCGCAGGCTCAGTAGTTGTGGTGCATGGGCTTAGTTGCTCCACGGCATGTGGGATCTTCCTGGACCAGGGCTTGAACCCATGTCCCCTGAATTGGCAGGCAGATTCTTAACCACTACGCCACCAGGGAAGCCCGAGAAGGTTTTAAATGTGTGCTCTTTTCCAATTTGGGAGAAGGTGGCAGAACCGGACTTTGAGACACCTCCGCACGCAGTGGAGGGACCTGGGGAGATGGTCCCTCTGTCCCTTCCGAGTGACCAGATCCCCAGCCAAGACCGTAGTCTCAAAGCCAACCCACTTCTCCTTTTTAGTAGCAGGTGCTCGTGGAGAAGGGGCTCTGCTTTGCAGGGACAGGCCCTAGACTAGCCTGCGGGGAGGGGGCAGGGGGCCGGCGCGCAGACAGGTAGTGTCCTGCCACCCCGAGAGGCCCTGGGGTCACCGCGGACAGGAGAGGGCAAGGGAGTCACGAGGCGGCCGGGAAGCTCTCTGCTAAGCTGGTGGCCGCTGTGTTCCTGCAGAACTCCTCAGGGCCGGAGAACCTGAGCCCAGGACCCTGAAACCGGTCCAAGCTCAGCTCTGCCTGCCAGGGTGTCAAGTACATGAGACCCACCCCCCCATCCCCAGTCTGCTACCTGCCCCTCGCCACACCTGGGGAAGAGCACGGGCCAGAGGAAGCGGGAAGGTGTTGATCCACAGGGAGCGGGGGAGGAGAGGATGGAGGCTGCTGGGACGAGGTGGCAGGGTTGCGCTCAGCCCCATTTCCTTTTCGGGTTTGGGAAGGGCAGTGAAGGGCGTCCGTGCAGAGTGCAGGTGTCGGAAGAGGGAGCCCAGACTCGGTAGGAGGGGCCCTGGGGCCTGGGGTGGAGAAAGTCAGCACTGGCCCCAGGCGGGAGGGAGGGACACCTCCAGGACTGAGCACTACCCTGTGCTGGTCCCTGGAGGCCTGGCCTTGCCTTATCCCTGAGAGCTGCGCACACCATCTCCACTTACAGGTGGGCCAGCCGGGAAGTCTCTGTGACTTAGATTGTCCGGTGTTCAGGCATAGGGCCCAGCAGAGGGGCTGGCCTGTCTCCTCCATGCCCCGCCCCGGGGTGGGGGGCAGGCTCTGGGCTCCCCCTCCTCGGCCCCCAGACCTACAAGTTGGGGTCTCACAGTTACACCCCAGGCTGAGAGGAGCCATCAGCTAAAGGACCCCTGGCTCCAGGTGGGCAGGAACCGGTCATCAAGGCCTCCTGTGATGAGCGGGGAGGGCCGCCCGGGAGCTGGTGGGGACAGCTGGTTTGTCCTGCAGGAACCCAGGCCGGGCGGTGACAGCTGGGGGCTGAGCGGGGCTGCAGGAAGAGCAGACCTCTGCTCGCTCACCTTCAGAGAACAGACAGTCTGAGCGCTGACTCTATTCCATTCCACAAGGAAAGGCGGGACCCCTCCCCCGCAGCTGAGGACAGATGGTACAAAAAGATAGCCATCCCACTTATGAATATAGATGGAGGTGGGAGGATTAGCATAAGCAATGAAAAAGAAGAGTGAAAAGCCCCCTCTTGTTGAGGAAGATATGCCTGAACACCGGACAATCTAAGAGGCTCTAGTAAAAACTACTGGAGTGAATAAAATAATCTGGTGAATAGTCAGGAAGAGAAGAATATAGAATAATCCATCATTCTTTCTATTCCGATAATGAGCCTCTAGAAATGAGGAATCTATTCCATTCCCTACAGTGACAAAACAAACAAACACACAACCTTAAGAAGTCCACTAAGGAGGACACAGTATCTATATGAAGAAAGCTATAAAATCTTATAGAGCTATATAAAGCAAGACCTGAACAAAAGAAAGGAGTACATGCAGAGCCCAAGAAGGTCCTTTCAATGGCTAAAATAATCTTAAAATTTGTATGTAAGAATAAATGCCCAATAACAGGCAAGAAAAGACTGAAAAAGAGCAAGGGAGGATCTGCCGTCCCAAATATGAGGCCAACCTCTAAAGCTACTAATCCGATTAAATACGGTATTGATCTAGGAATAAATAAATAGACCCATGCACCAGAATAGATATGCTAGAAATAGTCACCATTTTCCAGCAGAATTTCATTCACGACAGAAGAGGAAGGTGAATTCAGTGGGAAAGGATGGGTTATCTGCTAACCATGTGCTGGCACAATAGATAACCATCTGTAAGAAAAATGTACATGGTGTGTCAACGTTAGAGCCAGGTTGATTAAGTAATAAATGCAGAAGCCAAAAGAACTGGAAAAAACACATATGTAGTCAGCACACATGTAATCTAGGGTCAAGAAGAGCATCTTGCCTCAGTCCAGGCACCCTAAAGCTATACGAGAAAGTAGATATATTTGACTTTGTAGGAATATTAAATTTTGTGTGGAAAAAGAAGCCATAAACAAACAATATAAAAATGATAAATTTGGAAAAATACATATTTGTAAAGCAGACGACAGACAAATGATGAATACCTAGAATAGACTGAAGGCTGTTGGAAATTGACAAGAAAAAGATTTTTAGGAACCAGTAGAAAGATGGACAAAGGATATAAATAAGCAATTCACAGAAGAGCAATTCATTGACAATCTGTTGAGAAACAGGAGGAGACGTTCAAAGTCACGAGCCATCGGGGAAATGCCAATTAAAGCACCACTGACACAGAGCTCCACCCTCAGGCGGCCAGACACTGAAAACGGGCCTAGTGGTCCTGGGAGTATAAGGGATCAGGGACCCTTGTATGCTGATGGCAGAAATGAGAATCGTTACACTACCTTGGAAAGCAGTCTGAAAACTGCAGATATGATTAAAAAGACAAGTGGACATCAGTCCCCTGATGGAGAATTTCTGCCACAAAAACAAAACCTCCAGTGCAGGAAATATATGTTCACAG